CTCCGCGTGCGCTGTGTAGCCTTCTTGAGAAAGACAGAGGTTTTCCTGAAAAAAACATAGGTTGTAATGTTTTTTACAGACGATCTCGCGTTTTCCTGTACAAAACCTACGAATATTTACACTTTTCAAGAAAGTTTCATTTTTTCTCAAAAATTCCCACAAAGAATGCAGAACGAAAAAAACATGCCTGGGCATGTTTTGCGTGAGTTGCATCGTTTTCTAGAGAGAAACAAAAAAACACGCAGAACAAAAAACAGAAAAAACACACAGAACAAAAAAACACGCGGAGCAAAAAACAACACTCTTACCAGCCAGATGGTCGGAATTTTGAGCGCGAAGAGCCCCTCCTTGCAAACAGGTCTCAGCAGGAACCAAGTTGAGCTGTTGATCGCGGATGTTAAACCTCTGAAAACTGCCTTGTTTTTGGTGGTTCCAACTCGGGCACAAGATCAGCCTCCCGTTCGTCATGAACAGTCAAGTGCGCTTGCACCTGTTTTGGTGGTCTCGTTGTATTCCTACTATGCGGCTGGACAGTTTGTACGCAAACACTCATTTGAAGCGACCTTCCTACGGATGCAAGCAGTCCATCTTTTTTCAAATGCGCACTTTGATCGGAGAGTAGCCAACACCATGCAATATTCCTGCTTTGTGAAATCTTAAGCTGACAGTAATCTTCTCGGTGATCTTCAAGAGCTCGCAAGGAAACAGTTAGCTTATGAGTTAGCTGTTAGCCAGCTAGTGTAGCCAACCGGCAAGGACAGCCCTCCATGGCATTGTGAGAAACCTCACTGGAGAGTCGCTGGCCGGTATGGAAGGCAAGGAGCGTTTGCTGAGCATGCTGGTTGTCAATGTGTTGCCATGAATCGAGCTGATGGTCAGAATCTTGTCCGACATCATGTTGGATGGTGGAGGATATCACCAAGGATATTTGAATTACAACAGCCTCTCAGCTTGCACGGTTTGCAACAACAGCCGTGCACTTGGGGTTGAAGAAGCCAACCACCGAGGCGCCAAGGAAACCCCAGAGCGAGTTGCGCGGAGACTGTCGCAGCAGAGGTGCGCGTATCTGATTCCAGTAGGTCAAGAGACATGCAAGTTTTGAATTGTTGTTGCATTACATGATGGTCAAGCTATGGGGTTTTGGCGGCTTTCAGAGATGACACTGGAATTGCCCCAGAGAAGTGAAATCTTAAGCAGGCAAGAGAAGGCAACATGTGAAAACGAGCTGTAGCTGCGAAACAACTGCTGCAATCACATGGTTACTGCAATTGCAGAAGCGAGAGACAAGGCTTCTCAGTTCAGAAGATCCGCTTTGTGAGCTGTGGGGAGATGCCGGCGTGTAACAACCAAACTGCTTATGGTGATGCAGGCAGACTACCGGGATTGCCATGTGTCCAGTGGCTTTTCCTGCAAACGATGTCTGCAGGCTGGGCTTGACTGGTCGGTTCCAAATGGAGGAGCTCCAGCAACGACTCGATGAGGCAGGTTGTTCTTTCAGAGTGCAAACGTGATCACATCTGTAGGACTTTTCCAGCTGCTGCAGCCTCAACTTGTCTTTGCCAAAGAGCATGGCGCATTTTGATTTAGCCGTACTTGGCAGGTCCTCCTTCGTCCAGGATGTGTACCACCCCACCGAGCTCACAAAAAGCAAAGTCACAAACACAGCTCCCATCAGCTACTGCCACAGCCTTTGCCAATACTGCAAGATGCAAGAGCTCTCCGACTATCCCCTGCTTCCCAACGTAATTCGACTGAGGCCTTTGCATCTACATCGCGGGCCCTGCTGATGCTCGGCTTCTCTTAGGTCTGCTTTGCAGTCAAGCATGATGGTCTGAGGGCGGCACACGAGTTTGAAGCATGCCAAGGCAGCGTAGAAGTTCCTCCAGCTGCAATTCTCGGGAGGATTCTTCATTTTCGAAAATCCGTTGCATGCGAGGAATTTCACTTCATCTGGTGCTGACTTGGACTTTTGAGCGTTTGCCAGGACTCATTCCAGCATGTCTTTCGTGACCGCGATCGGCGCCACATGGAGTGGAACTTGAAGGTTGAAGCGAGAAGCTTTTAAGGGCTTTGAGAATTGCAAGTCTTTATGTGGAGGCCGAGTTCTCGAAAACAAGAGATGGTGGACTGGCAAGGCTTTGCATCAATCATGTTCTTCAGAGTTTTTTTGAGTATGCTGGCACCCGGGTTGGTCGGAAGGTCCTCTGGCTTTGAGCAGAGTGGACCTGCTCATCCCTTCTCAGCACTATGGGACACTGCCCAGTTCAAATGTTGAGTTGACTTTTCTTCCGAGCGCTCAGCCATCTTCCGATTATGGTCATCCTTCTGGCGAGGATGGTCCATTTTCAAATTGGGCTAGGCTAACGAGAGGGTCCTTGGCTCAGCTTCATGATTCGTTGCTTGCTAGCAGTAATCAATGCTTGCAAGGAACACCTTGCCAGCTTTTCGGACAATGAGTGTACCCGGCATCTAGGACCCTGTGTCCCCGAGCTCAGTGTACAGAGTTATTGGAATGCTTTGGTCACGGGTAGCGTGATGACCCGAAACAGGCAGAACTGCCTCTTAGGTGTCCCAGAAGGGGACAAGTTGCGATGAAGAATAGCGTCCTTTGTTGGAACTTCCTAAGGAAGGACCACCAGAGCGACCAGGTGAAGCCTTGCCCAAGGTAAGGAATTCTTTGCTGCTTGGTCAGCCTTTGCACATCCGCGTGCAAAGTTGTATAGATTATTGAGCTTAGCCTGTGGCATTTGACCACTTGGAGTCGCTCCTCAGGGATTAAAAGCGCAATTGCTAGCAGTCGGGCAGTGGTCGTCTTAAGGCTTGAAGCGGCCCATGAGGTTCGAAGGCCAAATTCGCTGGATTCTCTCGCATCCTGCGTGGTGGCCTTTGGCACTTTGCATGGCACACGTTGCATGGCTCAAATGAATGCGGAGAGCCTTGGAGGTGTCCATGCTTTTGGCCGCATGTGTACTATGTACTCAGGCACGAGTCTGCAAGAGGTTAAGCATGATGATCTACAAGATCAATTGGTATTTTGTGGATTTTGGTCGAATCTCGATTGGCCAGGACTGCATGTCGGAATTCACTTCCGCAAGCGACTTCTGACGATGACGGCCTGCTGCACCTGGCAAGCAGTGAGAACCGAGGGAGCCAGTCTCTACGTTTCAGGACCAGCCGCCAGCAAATCCCTTGGCAGTGGCTTCTTCAGAGAAGGCATCCCTGCCTTTTGCCTGAGTGTTTGCAGTCTGCACAAACCGCAGCTTGCAGCGATATCCCCAGCTTGCCAGGAACGAACTGTTTCCGGCATTTTATTTGTAGCGGGATGGTGCAAAGCCACGACCCCGGTTGAGCAAGTCTTGCGGTGACTTCCAGGATTGCGCTGGTGAATTGGTCGATATTGCTGAGCTGGAAACTAAGCGGATTTCTCCAAGTCCATGTTTAGTACGGCTTTTATTGCAAGGTGTCCAGAACTTCCACACACTGACAGTTGCGGACCACAGGCACGGTGTGAGGTGCTGCATATACATCCGGGTCGGCCTCTGAATCATGCGGACTGTTCTTGGATGCAGGCTTGCGAGCCGGGTTTGGAAGAAGTCATACCGGTCAGCAACTGCCAGGGGCAGGCAGTGCACCGCAAGCCTAGGTAAGTCCTCATGGACTTCTGCTGCACCAGGCCCCATGTTGCATGGACGGAGGGTGGCCAGAATGGCAAAGTTGAGGCGCAAGCCCAGCCTTGTTTGCTCAATCTCGGCTTGCCATGCTTGCTGACTGTGGGAGAGATGTGTGCATTGCGGGAAGCCAGGTGCAGCGCGTACCATGGGACAGGAGCCCGCAAACGCATCCTAGGGGCAACGCAGGATGCAGCCACGGTTGCAGTGCAGTAGTACGTGCATGTGCATGTATTGTGAAGTATATTGAGGTCTGCTGGTTCAAGACCTTTGTGAAAGCAGACCATGCGCTTCTTGTAGCTAGTCAGACAACGAAGTATATGCAGCAACAACTCGCCTGTCACCGCCTGTCAGTTTGGCACGATCGCCAAGCTTCAGCAATGGTGGGCCTGGTGGGCGGCAAGATCCGCAGCATGACGGAGGTGGAGCCGCCAACGGCCGAGGACCCCGAAAGTTCTCCACAATGCCACAGTGCAGAATGGTGGAAAGCCTGGAGCCCTATGACTGCTATTCTTCTGGTATGTTTGCAAGCTTATTTAGGAGATCGACGCCTTTGTGGTTGAGAACCGGAGGTGGCTCTCAGATGAAGCTGAGGCAGTGGGAGAAGTTGCATGTTGGACTGCACGTCTCGACCTGTGTGCCAGGGTATTCTGCGAGGAATGGATGGCCAGGACCAACGCCACGCAACAGCCCTGATCCCTTCATTCTGAGGCTTATCAGGAGAACCTCGTGCCTAAGTTTTTGCTAAGGTCCTGGCCGAAGGCTCCATGTCCAACTGCAGAGATCCGGTGGCCATAGTGAAGTCGCGAGCATGGAATGGACACTTGAAGGCCGTGGTGGGGGGAGGGCACTTCCTTTGTCACGTGCTTCTAGAGTAGCTAGGGGTGAGCGTTCAGGGCACAATGTACAATGGGCTATGATGGCCCGATTCTTAGTGGGAGGAAGAACAGTGGCTGGCACCAAGCAAACAGGTTCATTCAGACTCAGGCCCATTGCAGTCGGCCATGGAACTGATTGCCAGCTTCAATAACAGTTGATGCGAGTGCAATTGCAACTTTCCAGCGCGTTATAGGGAAATTTTCAGGGACAGCGCAAGCCATAGAATCGTGTAACCAGATGAAGACCCCAATGGAGTTCTTACCAGATCATGCCCACCTCTTTTATGTGGTCCTGTTTCCCTTCGAGGCCCACATTGAGTGGATGGAGGCACGCAGAGATGTGTCCGCCCAGCAGCTGGTCGACGACTTTGTCGCTGCCAACGCAAGATGGATCAATCAGGAAGCCGAAGAGCTCCTGGCATCGTTGGAGCCAGATCTCCTGTGGAAAGTTATTGATTACGGATCGATGCAGTTCTGTCGAGACCCGAAGGCCATTATCAAGATTAGGATTAAAGATGCGGAGCGGGGCAAGGTGCGGGCTTGGAAACACAAGGGGAATTTGTTGTGGCTGCTACACACTTTCCGTGACATACTGCCACGCGCTTGCGAGGGTGGGAAGAGCGGCAAGAAGGGCAGCAAATTCAGCGGACGAACTGAACCAAAGTGGAGGTCGAAAGAGAAGAACGGGCGGGAGGCAAGCCCCACAAGACGAGGGGACGGAAGAGGCAGAGGCTCAGAAGCGAGGGAAGAGCCAGGAGTCCAGGGATGTCTGAATCTGCACATTTCTGTATGATCAAGTTGATGAAGCAGGACCTTCATCTGCGCTTGCAACGCCTGAGGCGGGGATCGTCTTGTGGCCACCTGTCTTTGCCCCTTCAAAGCTGCCCCAAGGACACAGCAGACGAAAAGAAAGGGTCGGGTGATGAGCACCAGCGAGCTGTCGAAGAGGGTCGTTGCCTCTTCGTCGTTGGTGTCCCTCCCCTCTGGAGCATCAGTCAGATCGAAGACTTTTTCCACTATCATGGCAACATCGAATCTGTGTATTTGCGCGAAGCTGAGTTGATCGACCAACTACCTGCAACCGGATGTCACAGGGCACAGCACTTGCACCACGTGTTGATTGCAGCCCAAGGCTCAAGTTGCAGAAAGGCACGAACAGGAGGTCAGCATATGTCTATTTTGACACGCCAGAGGGTGCCACCAACGCCGCACTGGTGTGTGACAGGCGTTGCTTTGAAGAGTCGCCTGACCTTGCCTCATTCAGACCTCTTTCGCAAAGGCTTGAGGTGGAGCACCGGGAGGAGAAGCATTACCTCTGCTGCAGCATCAAGCACAAGGCAGAGGGGCAGAGGGAGAGGGAGCAGAATTGCGCAGATTGATTTTTTTTTTCCGGTGGTGCTTGCAGTCAGGCAGGCTCCAAGACTTACACGCGAAGACTAAGCCAAGGGCTGCGCGGCGAGGTGTGCCTAACTGCAATTCAAGGGGTACGAGTGACAATGGGTAATCAGGATTTTGCCAACCGTGCAGAAGTTGGAGCAATGCCAAAGTTTCAAAGGGTGTCGGCTTACATTCACGCGGCATCATCACCTAACAACTATGCTCTAAGCTGTCAGACCTTGACCTCGAAGCTCTATGCCCTAGATCTCTCTTGGAGCTCAACTATTCTGTTTTGATTTGGGGCTTTTAGGATGTAAGACCAGTTTGTGTCATGTGGCTCGTGCACGCCCAATCTCTCCCTGATGGTCAGGTTGACTTTAAGCAAGCTCAAGAAGAAGCTCGAACAGTCTTTCTCTCCAAGCTTTTCTGCAGCATTAGACAGGCTGCATCTTTGCCAGTCATCCTGCTTGCTGCTTGCTTAAGGCTTCCTGGAAATACCTCCCAAGACCAGATACAGGAGCTGACTGAGAACCATGGGGTTGTGGAGGCGGGTGGAGTCCACACGTCTCGCTACAGTCAGTACCGTTGTTCTTGCATTTTGGCAGGCTATTCATATACTTCCAGCCAGCAACTACAGCACCATTGCTTGTTTCGTGACAATGGAGAGCCCGGGAGAAGCGGCCTTCATGATCAGAGCATTGAACAATGCAGAGGCGCAACAACCCTTTACATTTTTGTTCATGTGGCGTCCACTCGGATGCCTCCGAAGCTCATGGTTGCCCAGGCATTTGGCACAACTATCAATGCCAGCCTGGCGGTGGAGAAGAACGAGAAAAGGAAAAAGCTACATCCAGAAGACGAGTGGATTCAGTGGTACCCGCTAGAGATTCGTAACTTCCCGCACTGGACCGTGGTGGATGATATCAAGGCCACGATTTCGACAGTTGGGCCGGCTTCGCAGCGGGTGCGCATCACGTCTTAGACATGTCAAGAATCCAAGCTCTGTTGGAGGGATATCTTTGCTGCAAGCTCTGAGGTATAATGCATTACGACCCTGCTCCGAGCTTGAGTGTGGCCAGAGCATACTTCAGGGAGGAGGCAGACAGAGATGAGGTTTTGAAGGCTCTGGCAGGCTACGAATTCTCCCCGGGCTATGCGTTGATGGTCATGGCTCTTCCAAGGACTGTTTCGCTAACGGAAGTATATTTTAAAACGACAGGTGATGCCTCCATGCGTGGTAGATCGAGCCATTAAACGAATATCTGCTAAGGTTAATCTTGAGTGAACATGTGCCTGTCATTATTTCTATCAATCAGCAACCATCCCCATCAACCCAGAATTCCTTCCGCATGAGGGAGCTCTTGGCACAACTGATTTGGCTTGACCTCAGCAGGACCACCGGAACTGCTCGCGGCACGATTTCGCATCACACTCCACAGCCGCAGCCACCAACCTTCAACAATGCTGCCATGACGATGAACAGGCCTATGATGCCAATGCTCAACATTCCAACCAGGCCAGCAACGCCGATACTCAACATACCAGGAGCTGGACTTCGAGTTGAAAACACCTCGCCTTTGCCGGCTGCCTTCACACTCGGATTCTTGCCCATCGGCTAAGTGCAGAGGTGCGGTTTAAACAGCAGCTCCACAGCCGTGTGAAATCGAACGACAAAAGATGCCAGTGCATGCGGGAGAAGCAGCGAGGCCACGAAGGCAACGGACTGCAATCGTGGGGTCCAGGAACAAGGAATAGTCCACATCCACGAGATTCCGCGAGCACTGAAGCCACTCCAGGCAGCGAGTTCTAAGCATGCCAGGTGATCCGTGAAAGTCTGGCAGCTCAACATCAGCGCCATGTCACAGAGATGTGAAGGGAATGCTGGCCTCAAAAAGGTTGCGCTATAGTCGCTTAAGCTACCGCCCAGAAACATGTTCGCAAATCAGTATGCTGTAGCAGGAGGCGATTTGCAGAAAGCCCGCTTCGGGTCCAACGCAGAACATGAGGAATGGGCTGCAGGCGGTTTTGCCTCATGCTTGAGCGCTGACGCTAGTTGCAGAGAGATCTGAGATCTATGCGCCGAAGGTTGCGCAAGTTGCAAAATTCAGCGGTTCTGATTGTTGGGGCAGTGAGCCGAACTTAGACTGGTGCGAGCTGATGCGAGAAGACCTTGCTTTGACCATGATGTTTGGGCAAAGTGCCGTCACAAAAGCCAGTCAAGCAGACATCAATGCTCAAATGGGTGGCCTACAGATCCGTAACTTGCAAGACTCCTCTTTGAAGTTCGGGGCTATTAAAGAGTCCTGGTGCATGAGTCTGCAGCTTGGGCAAGCGCATGTCCTCAAAACAACTGGTGCCCTAAGCTAACTCTCAGCTGTGTCAAATCCTGTTTTGGCACTTGTCTTGAACATGGGCACTGGCATGCTGATCTGCTTCGTCAGCTCAAGCATACAAAGTCGAAGTGTAGCTCGCCAGAAGCAAGCCAAGCGGGCAGTGATTTAGCATTGAGTTCCAGCACACACAAAATTGGCACCTCACTTCGAAGATGCTAGGCCCCAGAACCAAAGCAAGGACAGCGCCCGTCAGTGCTTTGCAGTTTGGACTGTGTTCAGTTGATCTGCTGTTTAGGATTGAATGTTCCATTGACGGCTTGAGCAGGTGTTTTTGGGCCTCTAATGTGGGCCGGCAATGTCGTTGTCCTTGTCCCTGTCATTGTCCTCGTCATGGTTGTTCTTGTTGTTGTTGTTGTTGGTGGTGGTGGCGGCTGCAGCGCCGGCGGGAGCGGCTGTGGTGACGGCGGGCGAGGGCAACGGCGGTGGCGGTGGCTGCGACGGCAGCGTCGGCGGTGGTGAGAGTCGCCGCTGTGGTTGTGGCGGTGGCGGTGGCGTGGGCGGTGGCAGCGACGGCAGCGATGCGCCTCCATTTAGTAGCTAGCACATTTGTGGCAGCATCTGCAGAGCTCTTGGTTCTTGCTTTATGGTTCTTCAGGTCCAGCTGGGGAAAGGAGGCACGAGCTTGCTCTCAACCCGCAAGTCAGAAATCCCAATATCAACAAAGACCCATCTGGGCAGACGCACGAACGTGGGACCACTAGAAGCAAGCATCCTCTGCTTGCGTCTGTGTGGGGGACGAGCATCGTCAGCACTGGCTTTGCTCATTCAATGGTCAGCTAGACTGACTACAACAACTTGCTCAGAAAGAGCACAAAGGGTTGAAAGACTTATTCGCAAGAAGTGTGTTTATTCTGAGCAGGAGGAGGCATGGCGCGATTCCAGGTTGCGCTGTTGATTCTGCAGCTGAGCCCGCTTGCTCGATGCTAAGAATGGGAGGTGCAAACTCTTTGGTCGCCCGTGGGGCGGAACTGAGGCACTGGGAGATGCTTGCAACGGATTGAGCCCCAGCAAGTCTGTTGTACAGGTTGCCGTGCCACCTTGTACAAGACATCTTGTCAAGTCAGCTGAGGCAGCATAGCGACAAGTCTTCCACCGTTTGGGGGCCCCAAGATTGTCCGCAGAGGCGGTGACACTGGGCAAGCAGAAGGCATCCTTGATTCAGTCGGAGTAGGTCAAGGAGAGATGGTATGGAGCTTCGCGGCGCCAGCACAGGCACCCTGCACGTCATTGTTCAGGTTCATGCGGACTTTGCGTGCGTGCTAGGACGTGGCTATAGTTTTGACACCTTCAAACAGCTCTGTCAATCCAGACATGAGGCAGGAACAGCTTCACGCGGCAAAGGCTGGATACACACCAGTTGAGCTTGTCAGGCTTTATGTGGCTTCAGACACAACAACTTGCCAGCCTGTCCAGAATTCGCAGGCAAGACAGCCGAAGCTTACGGTATGAGTGGATTTATGTTCTCTTTGCTGGGTTCAATGAGCGCTTGGCCATTGTCTGTTGGTGATGAGGAGATTGGTGCAGATTACATGCGGGTTGAGCAAAACTTGACCGAGCGCTGGAATGCCCCCTGCCTGCAAGTGCCATTCTTTCACCACTGCCAGCTTTGCCTCGCATCTAACGACGAGGTCTCGACTTACTTCCTCCACGTTTTGTGCCGGGATCAGGTCACTTTGCAAGCCTGGCCTGTCGATTCGATCCATAGCTCAAGTGCTAGGACAATTGCCAGTACCACCTCGCCCTCTCCAAGCTGGAAGAGTGGGAGGACTTCAAGCTATGTGATCTGTCCATGCCACCCTAATTAGCTGGTTTCTGAAGCCAGCCGTCGCAGTGACCAGCTGCTGAGCAGGAGATTTCGGACGGTGAAGAAAGGTCAGCGATCGCCTACCATGGAGTTCCAGTTCACTACAAGTTCGTTTGTCAGCTGAAGTCATGCTCAAAGCTGCTCTTCATGTTCCTCCGCGGAATCGGTTTAGCAATGGTGCAGCTGGTTGCCAATCTGAGGTGCAGGCAAGCACTGGAAGCCGATCTGCAGCGAAGGGTGACATTCAGGCATGTGGCAGGTTCTTCGAAATTCGAACATCACAAGATGAGTGCTCTTGTGGCTTCTGTGCTAGTGCTTGGCCTCGGGATGCATCTTCGACGCGACACTTGTCGCTCCTGGTGGCACCCCAATTTGGGGGCCGACTTCATGCAAAAAAAACTTTCATCTCTTAGACCAGGTGCGCTACGGCGACTATCCTACTACAAAGGCTGAGGAGCACCTGAATGCAAAGCCCTGAGTGCAGATAGTTGCAAGACTGGTCTTTTGCAAAGAAGCTGGTTGCTCTAGTGTTGCTGTGGAAGGCCAGCAGAGGATGGTTCAGCGGAGAGGTGCTTATCAGGGTGCGCATACCATGCTGTCAAGCCACGGACGAGAAGCTATACGCAGGTGGTGACAACTATCGTGCGATCAGGGACTTATTATATCACGGTGCTGAAAAGGTGGGTCAGCACCTCATGTCTTCTGTGAAGTTGGTGCAGTTTTCTTCTTGGTCAGGCATGGCTTGTCCCCACTTCCGTTCGTCATCTCTGCGCCTACGGCCACATTGCTTGCCATCACACGAAAGGTTGTTGCATGTTCTTTTAGCAGATAGACCACTTGCCAGGTGTCTGTGCCAGAGACGATGCAGACACTGCAGCTAGGAAAGCCAACCTTTGGAACAGTTCGAAAGCCGGGAGCCCCCGTATACGCTGACATTTGCTGGAAATGGAAGTCGCCAGCACACTGGTGACCGTGACGTGGTACCAGGGGCACCGCTTCATTCTACAAGTTCTATGTCGCCCATGCTCAGACTGACATAGAGGCCAGCATGCACGCTCACCATACAGGTGGTTTTCGGCGCGCCTGGCCAGGTTTACCTGACGAAGCTTGACGGAGATCCGGATTGTGCCGTGTCCCACCATGAGGAATACGAAGGGCTCTGCCACAGTGACAAATCAAGCTGTTTCAGAATGGGTTTTGCCGGGACGAGGGTGCCCTGGATTTCTTGTTTCCAAGGGTGACGGTCAGATGAGGATTGGAAATTGACTGAATGAGGAAAAGAAGCACAGCACATAGGGTTTGACAAATATGAAAGCACAACACAAATTGAACTGTCGACGCCCAGCAGTAAAGAAGCCAGCCTCACAGAGGTCTCCCAGAGTAGAGCCCCCCGAACGTTTCAGCGGGGCCCTTGCGAGGGTCTCCAGGGCCCTTTCAGGGACCTCTTGCCCCAGCAGATCAAAAAAGCACAAGTAAAGAAGGGAGTAAGCACGAAAGGACGGAAGACATTCACTTTTTGTAAGGGGGGGGGCGCTGCGGCCTTCAATCCCCTCCGCCATTTCACACACAAATAGCATGCTAGGACATCGTATCAAGTTAGCGAGAAGAAACTTGTTTCCAGGGTTCCCGTGACAACGGGAAATACAAAGTTTACGAATTTGCATGTACGCCTAGGTCAACCTAATTGACTTGTGTTTTCCAAATCTTTCTTAGAGATACCAGCATTCTTATCTTGAAGGAAGTAGCAGGAAGGCAAGAGATGTCACACAAAAACAGAAGGAGATAGGTATGGCTATGATTCAGGCCATGATGATACAGTCTTCTGCTGGGCACCATTATCCGCAATGGTGGTATTGCTTTGGCAGCTCCCTCGAAATTTGAGAGCTGCGAACACGATGCCTGACAAGTCCTATAAGTACATAGCATCTTCGTCCAAGCTTTGCGGATGACGGGGCTGCGACCACGGATCTTTTTTGGGCAATCCTAGCAAGATTTACCGGGAACTCATGGAACTCCCATGTTCTCATTTTCAATTACATTTGGCAAATCAGGGATTTGCCACACCATTCCCCCAGCACTTTTTAAAACCTGGAAGTTCGTCTCCAACCTTATTCAGAGCATCTTAGAGCATGAAAAAAGACATGTCCTCATCTTGATGCTTGCTTAGAAATGGCCTGGAAGTAATTTTCCTCCGTGTTCGGCACGCTTCCAAATCGCTCTATTTGCAGTAGTTTCTACCTCCGAACACTTCAGACTTGTGTCACTTGCAGTATTGATAGTTTTGCAACACTGAATTGCAAAGTTTGCCGTATTTGGAGACTCCAAGCGCCTCCTAATCGTACTGTTTGCAGCTTTTTGGCTTCTGAGCACCTCCAAATCATGTGTTCGAGGCTCTGAAACTACGACAGTATTTAATTAGTTT